TACTAAGTAGTTCCAGCGTTGACCGCTCGATAGCGCCGCTTACCCGCGCTAGAAAAAATCAGTCCGGGAACTTTCCGGACAAACTGTGTATATCTAAAACAAAAGTTTTAATTATAGACGAGTAGAGAGAACAAGTTAATCTGCGTCTCACAGAATATTGATAATCAGAAGATATTTAACATCCGCTCAATTTCCCGCAAAGATGTGTAAATTATTGATCACGCGTAGTTTCTTAATAGAACGTACGTCGAATCGAATTACAAACATTAGCATGTGCGCGCAATGCTTACGTACAGGATGTCCGAAAATCATCGGGAATAATTTTAAATTTCTTTAGCAATTAAAATATTTGTTCAGTCAAAACATCAGAGAAAAAATTACATAATTTATAACACAATTGTTTAAAAATCACTTACGCGCAAATTGGCCAAAGAATTCAATTCTTCAAAGAACTCGATAGTGTTTTTGAACACCTTATATATGAACGTATTCTGCAACCATACACATAGCAAACTTACTGACTCATCTTTTTTCATTATACGATAGCGTGCAATTATACATATACATCACACGCCGCACGTATGAGTATCATTCGACAATACACCTCGAGCGTGAGTGTCCATCGGATTTATGACTGTGCCTCAACGGTTATGCACGAACTCGTCATTACGTGTGCGTAATAATGGCAGCATCTTCTCGAAGTTGCGGCGGGAAAATAATAGCGCTGCCATTATTTATCAATGCGCGCATAGATAGTTGCGCAGGCGGAAGTAGCGGAACACAACGGAGAATAATCCTCGCGATGTTCCACATAAACGGTGAGTCTTCGCGTGTCTTTTGTTTTCACGCGCAATTTTCATTTGACGGAAACGTGGTGGATTCCGCAACGTGGTTTTGCTTTTCCGTCACCGGGTATGACTAGGTTAGATATGTTATAGAGCGTCTACGCTCTGTTTAGCCAGTCGAGTCGTAACTTTCAAGGCAGCTAGCCGTTGTTGGTGCGGTCTCGCCGACTATACGTTTACGCGAAACTCGAAATGTCGCACCGGAGGCAAGTGATACAATTATCAATTGAGACAGTCAATCTCGCGACAACAACGCATAGTCGTGCGCAGGAAAATCGAATACAAAAGGTTTGGCGCCACAGTGACGGTCCGTCGAGGACACGGTGACGGTTAAAAATAGTCTCGCCGTAATCGTCGCGGACTCAAGTCGATTTTTCGAAACTTGCAAAATCATTTGTTCAGTGAACAAAAAAAAAACAGAACATCGTGTGCGTGCTGCAACGTTAAAACACACACGTATATAAGTTCGCTTGGTTGCGTGTTTACGAGCGAATTAAAATAGAGCCGTGACATTACGCAACCCGACGCAATGTTCGACGATCTTGGACGTTTCATTAATGTGCTTCTTCTGAATAACCGCCGCCGCTCGTCACGTAGCTCCCAGGATCGATCGTGCTGCTCACGAAAAACTTATGGTAATGTTAATTATTGGTTAATTATCTGTGCCCGAACTTGTACAAAATGATGATGTAATTTATCAATGTTAACACCGGCTCTTACGGACTTGCGCGCCACGGAAATCGTGACCTCAAAACACCCACGGCATTTGTGATGTAACGTCGATGTAAAAAGTAGCGACGACGATCTTGATCACACAACGTGCAAATTGACGCGAGTATTGATTAACTGATCGTGTTTGATAAATTATATATCGTCGTCTATGAGACAGAAATATGTGCTCAATAAAAACGGAAGGATACTCGCACAATTCTTCACTCCCGACGTGCAATTACATAAGTGTCACATACGGGATTTTCAGTTTATTGCATAGTGACACTTAGAAAGTCAGGTTTTTTATGGTCACCAAATATTAAAAAAAAAGATTCATAAGTAAGGTAAAAATTTAAAACCGAAAGATCCCTTAACTAGGGAAACTATATGAAGCTTGAAACTTTTAAACTGCTCTCCTCTAAAATTTACGTTTTGGAGTTACTGAATTATACGTAGGGAGTGACGAATTGCACATTGCAATTGTTTGTTACGACAATTATGCTAATATATTGAAATCTATGTACTTATATAACTTATAAATTATTTATCATCATAATATATTCGATATACAATGGAGTTTGTTCTGTTTTCGATCCAAGTTTCTATATGAACAATAACTGAAGAGCAATAACTGAAGCATTAATATTAATTGTTAATTATTTAATTTCCTACGATTTGTCCCGATAATCTTCTTCCGGCTTAATGTGATGCTCATTATTATCAATCACGAGAATAAATGATTCAGTGTTATGTGTTTATCCATATCAAGTAACTTTTTACTTTTTGCATGTTATCTCCCCTCGATGCTTTTCAATCGTCACTTCTGTATAAAGCAAAATAGTAAATATAAGTGATATTGATAAGATAATAACCGATATCACATTATTTCTCCCCTCAAGCAGGAAGCATGATTTCAATTTGTTGAAACATAGAATTATGTGAATTTTAAAAACATCTTTCATATATTATATAAATGTTATCGAATGTGTTAGTTCTTCGATATCCGGCACGAAAATCGCTCATCGATTTCTGTCAGAGATATTTGCGATTTGAAACTCACATAAAAAAGTAATAATTCGCAAAAAGGAGCGCAGAGCCGTTTCTCTCGAATCAAAAGAGACAAATTCAAGTTTCTTCCCTTCAGTCAAACTGTAATGTCGCTCTTGTGACGGACGCAGAGAGACGTCAAGTCACGGCATAATATTGATGTTGTTAACTTCTACATATACGTCATATACGTAACATTTACAAACTATTCAAATGACAAAATATGCTTCTAATTGCTTCTAATTGTTTTCCGAAAATTATCTAATTAAATAAAAACGAGTGTAAAATAATTATATCGTAAGCGCAACAAAGCATTTTGCAATTTGTCCATTTATTCTTTGTTATGTGTGTTCAATATGTTTTATATTATATTGTTACGTATAAATATATTGAATATATTGTTATGTGTTGAATGTAACTATTCTATCTGTTGTATACACGAGAGATTAAAGCATATCTCTCTCACATTACTAATAAGAAAAAAGTAAAAAAACCACTATTTTGTGCAATTACAAGGAAGCAGATTTTTAATCAAACGAAACCTCGTGTTCAAATCTTTTCTTTTTTTCTTCCGCTATCTGTCCACAGACAAAGCGAGCAGGTAGAACATCTATTCTGAAAGAACATCAAACGTTTATAGCCTTTTGGAAGAACTCGATTATTCATCCATAAAAATTTCTCCTGTTTCATCGATCGCTTTCATCCAAAGTCGTAGCGAACTTAATCGTCCGTACTTCAGTCGCGCTCATATCCCTCGATATTTCTTTGTAACTTGAAAATATCTTCCCTACAATTTTCACGATCGTATTCGCACTATTGACTTGTGTTTACTTCAAAAAACTTATAATTTTTACTCTTATTCTATCGTTATTGTCACAACAAACAAAAACATGTTTGATAGCAACAAACAGAAACATGTTTAAACATTTTTATCTCGTCTTATTGATATCATACATAAAGATATCGGGTATCTGAAAAACAAATAAAGGTGTTTACATGATATCTCTCTTAATTTTGCTGAGGATAGTTCTCATGCTACTTTAGTATTATTATTACTATTATTATTTTTATAGTTTATTAAATTATTAAATTGATCATTTGTCAATTTTTATGTTCGTAAATAATTTTTTTTTTTACAGATATTATGCACGCAAGAAAAATCTGCAATAAATCTTCCTCGAACGCACATGTGTGTGTAAAGAAAATTCAATAAAATACATTAAATATGTTCTATAATAAAAACTTAACTCAAAGACTGTTATATATCGCGAATATGAGACGGCAATGTGCAGCAGTGTCGTATCGCATATCATACGATACGTTACATAATACGCACGTCTAACATAGCGGTATCTATCCACAATCACTAGAAATGCAAATGGCACATATTTTTACAAGTAAAACAACAATAATGAATAAAAAATCGTATTTTTTCGTCGCTCTAGTTGCGGCGTCGATTTTCACAATCTACTTTTACTTTTGTTACGAAAACTTCAATATTCAGAGCATAGTTTTCAACGAATATATCAGCAAAGACGTTCTTGTCAGAGCAAAAAAGTATCGAGAACAAAACATAAAAACAATTCTTCTGTGGAATTCGTTATTCAGCGACAAGAACTTTTATTTCGGCGACTTGAGCACCGCTTTTAGAAATTGTCCCGTTGACAAATGTGAAATTGTCAACGACCGTGACTATTTGCATGTGGCGGACTACGATGCGATTCTTTTTCACGGCAACAGCCTGGAGAGAAACGACATGCCGCGAAACAGAAGCGCGAAGCAATTCTACGTGTACGTTAACTTGGAAAGTCCTTCCAACAGACCGTACGATTACTACGAGGATTACTTCAATCTCACCATGACCTATCGACAAGACAGCGACATACCGTGGACCTACTTCATCATAGAAGATGCGCAAAGCGGTAAATTCGTCGCGCCTTCGAAAAATCCTGATTGGAAGGTTCCTCGGAACACAAGTAATATAACAACAATACTCTAAAAGATCTACTTTTTTTTGTTTTTGTAATCAAAACGCGATACTTTTCTCATTTGTGAGAATATTTTCATTAACCTTTTTTCTTCTTTCTAAATCCACGAATATTCAACTCTCTGTGTAACGAAATCTCCGTGTAACGTCTTTCCTTACTGTGTACGAGCTATCTCGAAATACGTGAGAACTAATCAGTTTTCGCAGGTGTAGAGGAAGCGGTAAACGAAGTGCCTGAGATATCGAACGTCGTCAGGAGCAAGAGCAAGCTGGTAACTTGGTTTGTAAGCAATTGCCAGGCCAAAAGTGGCCGGCTGGAGTACGTGGAGGAGCTGTCGAAGCACATAGGCGTCGACATCTACGGCAAGTGCGGCACATCCAACTGCGACAGAGAACAGAAGTGTTTCAGCGACGTAGTCGAGCCCAACTACTTTTTTTACTTGTCCTTCGAGAATTCCTTCTGCGACGATTACGTGACGGAGAAGGTGATGAACCCGCTCAGGTAATAACACGGTTCTAGACATATACACACACGTACACACAGACAGATATACATATACATATGATAAGGTCGTCATTCGCAACACCGGCGCGCACGCGAAAACAAAGATAATATAACTAGTATGTATCTGCGGAGCGAGCGTTTTCCCCGATGAGATCTACATCGCACTTGCGAAGTAACGTGCGTTATCTGACACACTATTCAAATCAAAATGTAAAACTAAACATAAAAATATTTTATATATCACCGTAGTTGTCCGTAACTTCTATCGTCGTGTCACCTTATCTCTTTGCGTGCAAATAAAAATACATCGTCGAAATGCGTTTTGAAAAGTTATTAAAAATTTTTTATTTTCTTGAAATGTCAGTTTTCGAGCTTTGTTTCTCGGCAGCCTCAACCCGTTACACGTTGATATTTTCGCAGAAAAAGATTGTCGCGCACGGAACGTGACAGAAACGTTCGTGATTCATGACGCAATCAAGCGGGAAGCCTATTTAAATCGTAGATAAGTCTTTGCATTAGGTATTCGCGTTTTTTTATTACAAATGCAAAATTTGACATCAAAGGATTCCGCGATTCTCTGAAATTGAAATGGGACGTCGGTGTTGCGACGATAGAATTGATACACGACGCGCGCGTGTGTTACTAATCAAATCTGTCTTATTTTGCTTTTTTTTTTTTTTGCGCGCGGATTGTGTATGCGAGCTGTGCAAATAAGTCATGGTGATAAAACAGACACGTGTCGTATCTGTTTTGTCTCCTGTTTTTTGTTCACATCCAGTCGCTCGCGTCCGCATACGCGGTGCGCGCAATGCGGATACCGTTGGTTTTTTTTTGTTGTAGATGTTTGCTAAATATGTCAGCTTATTATTTGATATTGCGTGCAACGCAACTTCACGAAAACACGTAACACGTGCGTATCCGACAGTAATTTCACGTAGTTGGAAAAGATCGCGTTCAAATATTACGGAATTGCTTATTTAATTTTGCTTAATTTGCCAGTTTGTTTGCGCACTTTCTAAACTGTTCGCGAAATGAAAAAAATCGACGGGAAGAAATAAAACGGGCAAGAAAGTACTAACACCGATAATGGGATTCTCTTATCGACATTCTTGTAGGTATAACATCGTACCGGTGGTTTACGGAGGCGCCAACTACAGCCAGTTCATACCGCCGAATTCCTACGTGAATGCCCTGGACTTCGACAGTCCCAAGGAGCTTGCCACGTACTTGAAATATCTCTCTCGGGATCTGTCGCGCTATCAAAGCTTTCTACAATGGAAGAAATATTATCGAGTCAACGGAGGAACAAAGCGAGCCGTATGTACTCTTTGCGAGGTGCTGCATAAGCAAAAAGAACCGAAAATGTATTTAACCTTATCCGATTGGTACGAGAAGGAGAAATGTCCCATTCAAACGCTTCTGCAGAGAACCAACGATAGATACGCGACTAAACGCACGCTAACAAATCGGAACTGAGAAAAATCCAGATTGTGTAGAACTGGGACGCGCGTAAAAAAATTTATAATGTTATTATTGTTATTGAATTATTATTTAAATTTTGCTAGCTATAATCTTGATTAAAACCTCACTTCACATGCGAATGTTACAGTTGTGATAACTATGTCAGTGATTGAAGATGTATATGCATTATACTATTTATACAAAGATCGATCGCGCTCTGTTACATTTTTGATATGCCAGCTTGGCTTCAACCTCTGCATTATTAATTGCGATCCCATTATAACATGAATAATCTACTAGTTAATCTTGTGTGTGTGTGTGTGTGATTTTCAAATAAAAAAAAAATATATATATATCTATATATATATACAGTCAGTCAAAAAAGTCTCCGTACACCGTACAAAAATTAATTTAACATTGCATAATTTTAAAGGAAATAATAATAAATAAATAATTTTTGCGTTATTATATTCGCAAACATAACATTTATTAACAGTGCAAAGAAAACAATGTTACATCTATCTGTTAACAAATAAACATTAGAAAAAGTCAAACTGAACAAAAATAGCGTCAAAAAAATCTCCGTACATGTACGTATATTACATATAATTTGTTAATTAGTGGTCAGTCGGTCCGCCTTTTAGTTTTATAATTTCTTGCATCCTCTTCTGCATTGTTTGGACTAATTTTTTTGTTGTATTTGGTTGTATATTTTCCCATTCTAACAATATTTTTGCTTTCAAGTCTTCTTTGTTTNTGATTGTATATTTTTTTAAATTTCTTTTGATTTCTCCCCACAAATGTTCAATTGGATTAATATCGGGAGATTGTGGGGGTGTATGCAGCTGCTTCGGAACATTATACAATATCCATTCCTTCAATTTTTTAGCCGTGTGTTTGGGGTCGTTATCTTGNTGAAAAATAAAGGACCCTTCAAGATTTAATTTTCTGGCACTTTTCTTCAAATTTTCTTTCAAGATGTTCAGATAGACGTTTTGGTCCATAATGCCGTCAATGAAGACTAAATTTCCAACCCCTTCTGCACACATACACCCCCACACCATCACGCTGCCGCCTCCGTGTTTAAACGTTGGAAGTAAATTTTTAGACTTCATCTGTTCATTTGGTCTTCTCCAAACTTTAACATTCCCATCCGAAGTAAAAATTGTAAATTTACATTCGTCGCTGAATATAACATTATTCCAAAATCCTTGATCCTTGTTAACATGTGATTTTGCAAATTCGAGACGTTTTTTTTTATTAGCTGCACTGACATAAGGTTTTCTCCTGGCTGTACGACCATTATATCCAGCTTTTCTTATAACATTACGAACCGTTTCTGGTACTACTTTTATATTATANTCATTTTCTATCATGCTGGTCAATTTTGGTGCACTTGTTTGTGGATCAGAACGAATTGTTCGTAAGATTGCACGTTTATGATTGGAGTCTAATTTTTGTGGTCGTCCTGTACGTTGTAAATTTTGAATAGATTTTGTTTTATTGTATTTCTCGAGAATATACTGTACTGAAGAATGTTTCTTTTTTACTATTTCAGCGATTTTTCTAATGGATAATCCATCTTTTCTTAATTTTACAATTAATTCACGGATCGCAATTGGAATTTCCATTTTAGAGAAAATATTACACAAAAACGTATTTTCTCTCTAGTGGCAGCAAAGCAACTAACTTGTTTGTCATTTTAGACTGCGTACTTGAGTGTAGTTTGTAAACATTCAGCTGAATCGTGCTTCAAACCAATTGAATTCTTCTCTGTACGGAAACTTTTTTGACGTTATTTTTGTTCAGTTTGACTTTCTCTATTGTTTATTTGTTAACAGATGGATGTAACATCGTTTTCTTTGCAACGTTAATAAATGTTATGTTTATGAATATAATAACGCAAAAATTATTTATTTATTATCATTTCCTTTAAAATTATGCAATGTTAAATTAATTTTTGTACGGTGTACGGAGACTTTTTTGACTGACTGTATATCTATATATATATATATATCCTTTCGAAAGGAGGGATGAAAGCCAGGGTATTACATGCCAGCTGTTATATACTTTTCCGGAATCGATTCCACTCGGAGTGTGATTCCGAACCTTTATCGTTTTTTCTTTTTCTTTTCTCTTTCAAAGGAAAAAGGAAACAACGACACAAATGGATATTATTCCGATCGAAATTGATTTCTCGAAAAGAGGGCATTCACATAATAGCCAATCAGTGTTGTTCGATCGTCAGTTCATTTTTTGGTTCGCGTGAGCTTTAATACGGACACGTGATCGCACTTATATATAAATGACAAAAAAACGTCCTTCTCTGTGATTAACTGTTCTCTTACCACGGTTATTTTTATACAATTTTGTACAATCACACCGCCATATATACGTAAATCCATTCTTCGATGCCTGATTTATGCGTCAATGATGGATCATTAGACCAAGTATAGGCAGATCGATGTGTTCACTATTCGCTTGATTAGTCGAGATCAAAGCGTCCGAGCTCCATCATCCCTAACATCGCTTCACGGTACTCAGAGAGTTTGCGAGAAGATGCAGTGTGATCTGCTGATCGTCTGATGTCTGTGAACGTAAATATATTCAGAAATGATACATATATTATTGTACATTCTATATCGATGTTAATTTAAGGGAGGAGAGGATGTAGCGCGCGCACAAAAGACTGATGTTTTAAATCTGTAATTTATATTGTATTATGAAAGATGTATTTTTTTGTGCACAATATACTTTGATACAAGAGTAATGTAAGATTTAAGAAATAATAAAATTAGAAATAAAAGTTACGTAATAAAAAAAAAAAAAAAAAAAAACACTTCGGATTATTTTGGAAAGATTTCTATCGCTACTTCACTTATTGATCCGCAATCCGTAAATGTCTCTGATTGTTTACTTGGCACTGTATGAAAGATAGTTCGCCCGCACTCGGAAGAACGAGAAACTTTGCTGAGAAATAACGAGATTAACAACAAGCTCACTGCCGCCACCGCCGCCACCACGGCTGCGCTCGGGAGTTTCTTTTTCCACCTAATGAAGAAAGCTTCTATTCCTATTAGTTTTCCGTCTACATGTATGGCGTCCAATTAAATTGCGATCTATTATATCCAATGTCATTCTTCTCGTTGCGCGCCAAAGTTATTGCGCGTCAAACTCAAGTTTTAATAGAGAGAGCTTCTCAATTTATATTTATTATACAAAAGTAAGTAACAAAAATAAAACGCAACACGTAAATGACAAACGCAAGTAAGTTCTGCGACATTGTGTATAGTTCCGTTCAATTCTGTCCGCAAAAAGAATTAGTGTACGTTAAAAAAAAAAAAAAAAAAAGGATCCAAGAGAAAGAGAGAAAGAAGACAAAACATGTCTCATAAAATTTTATCAAGCTCTCGAATGCTTCCGGAAGCGGCGAGTTATTCCTGACTTGGCGCGGGATTCTCCTAACAAAGAGGACTTTGCCCCTCTTTTGTCCGTTCGCACGATAAGCAATATCAAATTGCAATAAACTGGACCGAGATGTCGCAAGTTATCAAAGAGACAGATATTACCAATGATGGCCGCGCGCTCTAAACTTACGGGGGAATCACGGGAAGTACCTACGTACAAGTATCCTAAGCATCGCTCGTTGTGCTACACGGTTACACGCCGCAGCTCGTATTGTAAAAGTACTACTTGGGCGCAACTTCGAGCATCGAGCAACCATTCGGCTAGGTTGTAACAACCTCCAAGTCCTTCTCAAAGTTCATCGCGGCGACAATTTCTTGTCGCGCGAGCGACAGTAAACTCCGCAGTCCCTCCCACGTTCTCTCATCCCCGCGTTCTCTCCCGTCGTATATTTATACGAAGCGTGATCTTCGCCGCGTTCACGGTACGTCGCCGAACTTCTCTTCGACACGAAGAGATTGAGACCACCGCAGAATTTCTATGCGAATTCAGATTTCGATGTTTTACATTCGAGACCGAAAGGCAACAATATCTGACTGATTATTTTATCAAAAGTTCGTTATTCAATTTTTTTCTCTTTACGCATCATCTCGGGTGTTACTCTGATATCTCACGCTAAAGTTCGTCCCGCAAATTTTTAAATTGAAAGTGTGCGAGCTGTTTTAATTTTCATCGATTATTTGTACACATTTCAGTAACGTATCCGGTAACGCGTCAATTTTGTTCACACGTCAACGTGTTGCGCGATAAAACGCTAAACAATTTAAGTGAATGCGCAATAATTATGAATTGCGGTAATTTTATGCACAACTCGCTCGTGTGTTACATAATTACAACATCAAGGGAGAAAAAGCAAACAAAAACGACGACGCGTCATTAATCAATGATACGTCGTTGTTTGCGCGTTCGCGTTTTAGCATTTTCAGATCATTGAGAAGATAATACATCATCACACGCACTGTAATTCAATAATACGTCTCTAATATAACACTATTGTGCGCCAAAATGCATTATTTCATGTGATAGTGTTGATATCTCACGTGTCATTAATATTCATTTCCGGATTATTCGACCGATAAAATCTTGTAACGCACAAAACTCCGAGTGAGTCTCGCGAACGAATCGTTTTCCACAAGCAGAATTGTTTTGTCTTACCGATTTTTCACGACGACGAAAATTTTGTCGCGCTATCCCTCGTCAAAGTGTTAAGATCGCGAACGATAAATAGTAAGAGTCGAAGATGAAAAAGCAACGGCTCGAATCGAGCTGGATGAACATAAAAAGAAATTACTAGCCTCTCAGATGCACTTGGATCTCCGCGAACGTCTTCCGCGCACCGTACCCCTTTCCCTCTTTCGTTTCTTTTCTTCGTTCTCAGTTTTCTCTCCTATCTCGCTTTCGTTCTCCCTTCCTCTCGCGCGAGGATACCCTCTCGCCATTTCTCTGTGCCCCATTCTCTTCTTTATTCCGGGTTTATCTTCCGCCGCTTCCTTCTTTTCCCCGAGACCGCTCGGGCTATTTTCCGATTCCGCCGCGCGCACTCGTAACTTGAATTATAGATACCCTTCACAAG